GTGATCACTGAGGTCCATCGGTCATGGCGGTGAGAAAGGAGGGACTGCCTGCCTTCAGCAGCCCACGCAGGTGCTGCTCTGCGCCCCCTGCAGTGTAGGGGGGCCTGCAGCGTGAGCTCGGAAAAGGGAATCAGAACCACGGACCACAGCGCACAACCATGTGGGCCTAGGCTTCCAAAAGCTTTTTCCTGTTTCTTTTTAAAGTAGGATTTCTCTATGGCTCCTAACATTTTAACAATACATACATAACTGTGGTGATTTAACAAATTTGTGGATTTGTAAAAAACATAGTACTACATTTTTCTGTTTTTCCCTCAACTAGTTGAGGATGGCTCAACCTCTGATTTCAAAGAAGTGCAGCCTCTTTGAAATTAAGCAGTTCATCGTGCATGAGCTGCCCATAACAATTCATTTATTTAAAAAACTCCCTCACATCTGATTCTACCTGGTGACCACTTGTCAGAGAAAGGGTGGCATCGTCGTATGGTATGGGCCCAGCAAATGGGAGGCGGGAGACCTAGGAGATGGTCATGGCTCTTATGACACCACTGTGACCTCACACAAGTTGCGTCATCTCTCTAAACCTTACTTTTACTTAACAGCATACCGAGGGCACTGGGTAAGATGCTGTGGAAGACCGTTGTCTCTAAAATTCTACACATTATTAAACGTTCGCTGCATGGAAATCACTTGACAGTTATGAGTAAGAATAAACACATGACACACAGCCAAAGCAGTCAAGAAGCCTGCCCTATATTTAAATAGGCGGTTCACTTCTAGGAGGCACAAAATTCTCGAGGAAAATGATTTCATTAAATTTATTTTAAAAATCTGAAAGGACCTTGAAAATTCTGCCTTGACCACTTGTGCATTCTCTTACTAGGCTGCTTTAAATGTAGTGCTGGCTTGGTCTGCGGCTCTGTGGGTGTCAGGTTTCGAAGGCAAGGGTCAGGCGTGAGAAGCAGGGCTTGGGCTTCGGCAGTCAGTGAGGCCTGGGCTCGGACCTCGTCATTTTTATCGAGCACAGGGAATGAGAGACGAGATTCAGACTTTTTTCATCCGAAAAATGAGGAGGACAACGCCCATTTCCTGAGCGCCCCCCCGTGCTGAGATGGGAACACGTGGGTGGGTGTGGCACAAAAGCTCACAGGGAGTGAGCATCACTAAGAGGACGGCGTCCCACAGCCCTGTTTCCCTGGGTACGCGTGCGGCTAGGCGTGCGGCAGGGGCTGGGAGCAAGGAGAAAACCTCACCAGCACTCTTTTTATCAAGTAAAAGGCAAAACCAATGTTCTTTCTGACCGAACTCTATTCCCAGAGGTAAGCAGGAAGGACATCGCCTGGAGTTGAGATGGGAACACCCCACGGTTTAACTTCTGCGAGTAATTAATGGATAGAATTCGTTAAAAGCAACATGCATTGTACTTTCACTATCCGGCTTCTTTGGGGCACACCCGGCTGTCCCACCTCTGTCCGTCTGCGTGTCCTTGTCCTTGCCCTTGCCCTCCCCTGCTCATCAGCATCCAGATGAAGGCGTCAGGTGAAGCGCGCCCTGGCAGGCTTCCTGATCACCCAGCTGGCCGTCCTCTCCCCTCTGCTCCCAAGGGAATGCACCCAGACCTTTTCCTCTGTGCGTCCCCCTTGGCGTCCTGTTGTCTCTGGGCGGGCAGGTCCTACTTTCCTGTAAGACGCCAAGTGCCTTGGGGGGACAGGATCTTTGTTTTCTGCAACTTCTCAACGACGTATAATACCTCACACGGTCCCTTCCATGCATTAGCTACCCAAAAAATGCTTGCTTACGTAATGAACATAGTTTAAAATTTGGCAAAATACCTGGTGAGGTTTTGGTTTCAAAGATGTAAAATTCTAAGTCATGTTTCTTCATGTTTCTAAAATAAAGGCATCATTAATTCTGGAAAATGCCCTATTGATTATGAGCCGTACAGAGTTTCCGTAGGAGACCCCCCGCACCCCCTGGAGCCGTCTCTGCCGGAGGACATGGATACGCAGGGTAGGGAGGGAGGAAGGAACTCCGCCATAACCGCCTTCTCCACACCAGGCAGCCGGCCTCTCCCTAAACCCCCGGCCCTCATAAACTCACAGGAATGGGAATGAAGAGGGGAACGCTCACAACCTGCGTGTTTTCTTTTTCAGTAAACATGAACTGAAATTTCAAAAAGCATAAGCTTCTTAATCAAGCGAGCTTCACACCCCGGTCCAAAGCAGGCAGCTGGCGCTGGAATCAGTGTGCACGTGAACCAGGAATGCAGGGCGGCCCGGGAGGGCGCCGTGAACACGGGACACGCACGTGACCCCGCACACGCTGCAGCTCCCTCTCTCCCCAGGTCCTTCTGCAGCCTGTGCCCGGTGTGTCATGGGCAGAACGGGCCATTTTCAATCTAAATCTTGTTATAGATTAATAAGCAAACATTTTCTTGCTTATTATGCAATTTATCATGATGAAAATTATATTGGACTCCTCAAGGCTAAATGCTGATACATTCATTTATTCAGAGCAGTGTATAAAGAGTCATACTAATCTTCATGACAGAAAAGGATATAATAGCAAGGTGTAAATTACCTACTGAAAGACTACAGTATTTGTGTCCGCAGACATAGTACATGTATTTAGATAAAATACACGTGCATCTGTATGTTTGCAGACATGAGCTTCAAGTAAACTTTTTATTTAAAAACAAAATGTTACACGTTAAAAAATAAAAACCCATCACTTCTCTTCCCAGGCAACAAAACAAGAGTGAATTCTGTTGAAACTGTGTTTAGATCAGATCTAAAAATAATCTAAGATATTAGGTTAAAATAAAATTTCAGACAACCAAAAATACTAACGGACACCAGGGACCCGTGGTCACAAGGCCAGCACCGGACACTTGGGAGGGGGTCCTGCAGCCGAGGGGAGAAAACACGTCCTGGGGCTTTGCAGGAAGGCCAGCTGCCCCCCGCCCCACCCCTACTGCCACAGGCTCCTGGGCTTAGATTCCCTTCTAATCCTTAACGTCGGTCTAGAACCTTCCGACCTTCAGTATCCATAAACTATCCTGGGTACCCCAAGTCAAACTGTTCGTTCCAGCAATGGGCAGTTCCCGGTCTGTTGAACACCAGGACAATGACGATGGCATCACCACCATGCTACCGCCATACAGGTAGTGTCCACTTAATCTCTTACCACGTGCTAATGCTCTTCCGAGCACTTTGCAAACACACTCTTTTCTCAGCAGCCCGATGAGGCAGGTACTTGAATGAGCTCCACTTACAGACTGAACGGAGGCAGAGGGATGAGGTAACTTCCTGAAGGGCCTACAGCCAGGGAGACGCCAAGGCGAAGAGCTCAGGAGCACGAAGGCATGAGGTGACAGGTGAGGATGGCTGCCTATGTTTGAAATAAATACCCTTCTCCTGCAGTAGATCTTGGAATTTGGGGCTAGGAGTATCCAGTCTGTAGACAAAGCCCAGCCTCCGAGTCTAGCCCTCACGTGTTTCTCTGGCCTCCATTTCTGAGCCTCCAGCAGCCACCAGGAAGACTACAGCACAAAGCACGCTGGAACAGAGAGAACTGTGGGCGAAGCGCTCTAGTGTTTCCGTTAAAGGTTAATAACACTAAGAATGAAATTCCATTCACTGAGAAAATCAAACAGGCGATCGCATTTACATTAAGAGAGACGTCACGGGACAGTTCAAGAACTTCTACCACTAGGAATGCACGCTCACAACCGGAAGGTAGGTGTTGGTGAGGATGTGGAGAAAACGGAACTCTTGTACACAGTGCTAGGAATGCAGAATGGTGCGGCCACTGCGGAAAATAGTGGTTCCTCAATAATCAGCTAAACATGGAATTACTGTGTGACTGGAATTACCATTCCAGTTTTAGGTATTTACCCAAGAGAAATAAAAACAGGTATTCGAACAAATACTTGTGCATACATGTTCACAGCAGCATTGTTCACAGCAGCCAAAAGGCGGACACAACCTAAATGCCCATCAACAGATAAACAGACAAACAAAATGCGATACACCCGTGAATGAACCTTGGAGAGATGCTAAGTGAAAGAAGCCAGACACGAAAGGCCACATGTTGCATGGTTCACTTAAGTGAAATGCTCAGAATAGGCAAATCCATAGACAGAAAACATCAGTGATTACCAGGGATTGGTGTGTGTGTGTGTGTGTGTGTGGGGGGGGGGACGGGTAGTGACTGCTTAATGGGCATGGAGTTTCCATGTGCAGTGACTACTTCCAGGAGCCTGACAGCAGGGGTGGCTGCAGAAGCTCGTAGACGCACTGAGTGGCACAGAATTATACACTTTAAGATGACTATAGCTCTAAATTTCCTGATATGTGTACTATACCACCAAAAAAAAAAATTCCCCCAAAACCTCCTTTAGGAATCAGGAGGCTGAGCTCTCAAGCCAACACTGACCTCCCCCACCCCCAGCTCCTAGCCACTGGTTACCACCCGTTTCTGCTTATTTCATCTGAGCAACGCCCTGAGCTCCCTTCCTGCTCCAACACTCTCCTTGGCGCCTCCCTGGGTCACTTCGGACTCCGTGATGGTCTTCTACTGGGTGTGAGTAAAACCTCCACAGAGCTAATTTAAAAATTAAAATGCGAGCAAAGAAGTAATTCCCTAAACTATTTGCTCATGTATTCTATCAGTAAAACATTGTGAGCAAATATATATGTATATTTATAAATAATTATTTATATATAGTTTTCCTTCTGATACATTTACCCTATTATTAGCTAATAATCACAATAAACAATTTTAAAACTGTTACTGATTGATCACTGGCTCCATGCTAAATCCCAATGCTGTTACAATTAGAGGTACACACTTCCCTTTCAATGTCCATATCCAAAATTTCACATATTGATATACTTGCATATTTTTTCTGTTAAAACACACAACTTATAAAGGGTAATCGATGACAAACAACAAAACAAAAGGAGAACAAATCACATTAACCAGAACTGAGCACCTACTTGGCCAGCTGCTTCTCAGCATCGGCACAGAGCTCTAGCAGCCCCATCAGGACGGCCGACACGTCCATGTACGGCTCCCACACCGTGAACCCGCGCCCAATCAGGTCGGTCGCTGTTCTCCGGATGGTACTGTGCGGAGGCAGCTTGGGGCTCGGCGGCTGGAGCAGAAGAAACGTCAGCGCTTTGCCTACGGTCACAAAATAAAAGGCAAGGCAATAAAGTAAGTTTGCTTTTGTGATAATTTTCTTTGAAGCATATTTTCAAAATATAAACTGCTTTGGATTTCTTTTTTGTTTTTATTTTAACTAAAAAGGTTTTGAACAGTAAGGTTATAAAAGATCTCAAGTTTACAGTATGCCTGGCCACATACTTTAGAAGGATAATTTACGTAGGTTACCACGTTCTGAAGTGTTCTAATTACATACAAATTATATATTAAGTATGCACAATGAACTTCCAATGTTTCTTCCTACGCGATAGCTTCCAATGATGTGACGGGGTATCTCTCACCTCCCTTCTGCATCTAACAGAGTTCGTGTGTCCAGCGCATCCCACCAGTGACACATCTCATTCCAGACGATGTTCACCCAGGGGAGTGAGGGATGGAGAGGCCAGGACGTGCAGCTTGAAAAAGTGTCCCCGCCTAAGCACGCACGTCCCTCCACATTCCGGCGTTCCGACCGAGTGTGATGGTGCCGGGTGTGCGCGAAATTCTGCCCGCAAGCCAGCTAAATGAAAAGCCAGTTCAGTGTGGCGCTTAAAGGTGTTGAAGTGACCAAAACTTTAATGCACATGTGCTGCTTTGTGTCAAAGGTAATGCTGACAGTTTGAATATATGCGCCTAGTGGGCATTAAGCAGCAAAAGCCCATCTACTTCAAAAGGCGTTTGGGCATTTAAGAAAGAAACACACAAGGGATTGTGAAGAGCAAGCAGACTGCAATAAGGAGGTTTTTTTGTTTGTTTGTTTGCTTGCTTGATTTTTTGAGGGGAAGAGACAACACAGTTTATAAATCACAGAACAGGGTAGCATACGGGATAGAGGAGCACAGGCTTCCGAGTTGAGACGGACGTTTCTGAAACAAACGTTTTGTTCACTGCACACCCTGGACTGCGCCCACCCTCCAGGCAGGAAAAGGCAGAAGGATGGAGAGCAGAGGAACCTGTGCCAGGTAAGTCACCCCCTTTCAAAGTCTGATGACATTTCATTGGCTGGAATTGTACCATCCATAACAATACACACACATATAATACTCCCCCTAGTTTCAAGGAAGGGTGGGTATGTAGTTTATTAGCTGAACACACATCTAACTTCAACAAAACTGATGTTCTGTTCCCAGGGAAGGGGAGAACATTGCATAGGTAGCTAGAAATTTCTGCTACATCTTCTGCTTAGCATCCATGCATTTAACAAACAATAGTATATCATCTCTTGGAATTTATTCTCTTGTCTAAAGCTAATTTTACTTATTTATTATTATTTTATTTTATTGCCTTTTCATACATGCTAATTGAGAATGTTCCCTGAGATATATTTTTAAAAATATTTTTATGCTTGTCATAGGCTTAGCACAATGCTTTATATTCAGTAAATACTTAATACTATTGCTGCTTTGGCAAATACTAAAAATTACTTTATACTATACATACTCACCACAGTCAACAAAATTATACACAAATCAGAAATTTCCAAGAGTCTACCATATACTGTGCCCATGGGGAAGTTTCCATGGCTCTGTGGTGAAATGGTGAAAGTATAAACAATGCAGTAAGTCCTTATCATAAAGCTAAATTTATTCAACTTACGGGAGCTCATTTGAAGATGATGTTCTTAGTACTGTTTTGGTGAATAAAACTTTTTTAATAAAATGATGAAGAGAGTGGTATGTTTTACTCAGCAAATTAAAAGTTTTAAACACTGATAAATGACCTCAAATTTTATTTTCGGAAATTGACTGGCCCGTGATATCGAAAACCTCGGAAACAAGTGCTATTTGTAACACAGAGACTGTCCCGAGGAACCCCAAGGGTGTCTTGCCCCACTGTAAGTATCACAATGAGTAAGTCAGTCCTCCTGCCAGTCGCCGGTTCTTCACTGAGTCTGCGGAGAGGCTCCTCCTAACTCAACTTGCTACAGGGTGAAACTCAGCATTATTCAAGTCCTCCTGGGACCACATTCAAGGTCAAGTTACCAAACAACTGCTCTTTCTTAATTGTGAGGAAGCTGAGCAGTACAGATCCTGTGGCAGCTTCGCAGCGGGCATTCAGCGAGTAGCAGGCACTCCATCACCACCGCCCCTGTGTGTCCAGGCAAATGTCCAAATGAACTCCCAAAATGCAGACAGCCTCAGAACATTGGAAAACAGATCAAAATAAAATGCTTTAAAAGGCGGAGAGCGCTAAAACCCAGCATTGGATAAATCACAATTAACTTGTGCCCCTGGCAGGTGAGAGACGAATTCTGTTGTCATACAGTCAGGAGTGATAACAATAGCTCATATTTTAGTGCTATTTTATCTCAAGCATTGTGTGTGTGTGTGTGTGTGTGTGTGTGTGTGTGTTCCAACTTCAATCTTGCTGTTTTTTTAAAAAAAATGCTACAAAAGAGCAAAGCTGCAAGAAAATGTCTATTCTTCGCTGTGACAGCAAAATGCAAAAGATGAGAAGAATAAGACAGAGAAGGAAAATAAAGCCTATATAAGCAGTGGCCAAAAACTGACAGTATTATACAGCGACTTACTCATTGCTTTGCTCTGTCAAGATGAATACTCTCCCATCATAAACTGACCAATAAAAAAACAATTAACTTAAACTAAAGTTGTAGTATCTAACTGGTTATAGTGACCAGCTCTTTTAAGAGATTAGTATACTAGCTACTACACTAACATATACACAATGCTATTACTTAGGTGATACTGAACTTGTTTTCTAGAGTGTTTATCTGCCCTTTTCACAAAGCTTAGACTCACTCTATCAACACACCTTACATTTCAGGAGTGCCTGCCTAGGCCATGAAAACACTGTTAACTCTAAAGGACCATAGTTACAGATTTCTGTAAGTATCAGGTATTATTTTCAGTATCGTTCATTTGATAATAAATTACAGTTTTTAGACTTCTTTTACTCACTGAAAGCACACACACTCAGGGTCAACTGCCAGCTGTATGCACTAAGAGAACACTTTTCAAACTAACTCAGACCTTTATTTCCATACAAGCCCAGATGCTGCTACTATGATAGGTTCGTGATACGAACATGAATTAGGTATTTCATTTACCCAGTTTTTATTTGTGAAAAACAGCATTAATGAAGACAGGTTCACTTAAAAAGTGGTATAAAATCAGTGGCGTTTTTCTCCAGCTGTCCATCTGTAATGTTTTTTTTCCTTTTTTTTTTTTTGGCTTAAGTTTTCCCTCCCATGATGCTCCCCTCGCTCCACCCTGAACGTGGAAGGAAACAGGCGCCGGGTGACGGCAGAGGCGGAGGGAGAAGGACGAGGAACCTCGCATCGGAAGGGGACGGGGTGCCTTGAGCCTGGCGGGCCTCCCAGTCGAAGGTGCAGGGACTTGGATTTTATGGTGGCCGACACTTACAGAAGCCAGGGGCCATGGAAGGGAACTTTAAAGATTAGAAACTAAAACGGAAGCCAGAGTCAAACCACACTTATCAAGGGAGAACGACATTTTCTTGTAAGAAATATTACAAAATCATAGCATTTCAGAGGATTGCTCTCCAAAGAGCCCTCGGAGATCGGTTACGATTATTACCGCCGAACTGCTGATAGGTAAAATATATAATCATTTTCTTGGGCTTTGGTTGAGACAAACTTGCTCCTCACACTTAAAAGGAAATTATGAATTAAGAAATGGCCGCTAACCATCCGTGGCTCTACACATTAGAGAAGGGGAAAAAGGTCATATTTAAAAAATACATTAATTAATAGCTCAATTACAAAGAAATTCCTGTGGGAGAACATATTATATGCACTTTAAGCCAAACGAATTTATGATGATTTATGCCATTACAATGAGTGCAAAATGAATTAATAATGATTGGCCACTTATTTCAAAGTATAACCAAGTGAATAAAGCCTTCTCTTATTTGCTAATGTCCATCAAAGAATGGGGGTGGCAGAGTGCCTGCTGTCTAAATTCCCTCCCTTTGCTTTATACAGGTACTCGATTTGATTAAAAATAATTCCAATGTAGTGTGCATTATTCATGGATGTAGAATAATTAACAAACATTTCTACAACTAGATGCTTGGGATTAATGCAGTTATTAGAAAATGCTCTTAAGCTTTTAACATTCTCCATGGCATAAAAAGCAAGTCATTATTTCTTTTAACAAGAAGCATAAAATAAGTGTGATAAATTAGGAAATCAATTTGCTAAAAACATTGAGCATAAAATTCAAAAGCACTTTGATCTGAAGTACTTTTTTCTGTTCTATTTTGACTTACAAATTAACCAAGTTGTGGTATATAGTGAAGGTTAATCTCATCTTGCTTTGGGTAGTTAATGTATTTTGGATGGCAGGCTAAAATGGGAGACAGTTACCTTCCTATAAACAAACAAGAGACTATTACTTAATGCACATGGTTTTTTCTGCCTATGGCAGGTAAAGCACACTGACTGTGTGACAGTCTAGGGGTCAGCAGTGAAGAAATAAAGTAATAGTTTCGTGATGTCAAAGAAGTAAAAAGAAGAAAAAAATCCATTAATCTGTCAAATCGTTAGCTGAGTGGTCCAAACACTTCTACACCCTGTTCCCAAAAGGTGCAGGATTATTGAATGACATGAGTGGGGGCTGGGGCAGGGCACCAGAGAACGTGAGCCTTTAAGTTCAAGCTCTAGCACCTGTCGTCTGTGTGACGCTTTCATTCATGTGGTATTTACTAGAGCAGGCTGTGTGTCAGGCCCTGTTTTAAGTGCAGGGTAGTGAAGTCTGCTCTCATGAAGCTTACATTCTAGTTGGGACATAACAACCAAATGAACAGCCCTGACCAGTCTGGCTCAGTGGGTTGGGCGTCGTTCTGCAGAGAAGGGTCTCCAGTTTGATTCCCAGTCAGGGCACATGCCTGGGTTGTGGGTTCGATCCCTGGTTGGGGTGCATGTGAGAGGCAACTGATTGATGCTTCTCTGTCACATTGATGTTTTTCTCCCTTTCCTTCTCTCTCTCTCACCCTCT